AGCCATCCATATTCAAGATGGCGACCACAGCCAAGTAATCTTAAAAAACACAAAATGGCTAAAATGCAGCCATTTTTACAGATATAGACTCAAGATTTGCTGTGGTAGTAGCTGAGTCTGATCCCCATCTCCGAGCTCCAACAAACCAAACCTTTTTATATAATTTTGTCTGATGAATGAAAGTTAAGCTGAAGCTTCAGCTGGTCCGAGCGTTCTGGATCAAATGGCTGTTCTTCTGATTGGAGAACGTCTCTTCTGGCTGACGTGTGTAAAATGTACAACCCAGGAAAGATATTATAACTTTAAAAGTTAATATTTATTTTTTGTTAAGAATTGTCTACACTAACTCTTCAGCTTAAGTCAAGCTGAAATAATATTTAAGCATTTCGTCTTCCATCCTTCTTTGCCAGCGTGTTTACATGAGATCAGGTTGTAGCCGTTGTAGTCATTTACATTTTGATTACGTTGTGTGACATCTCGTGGGATTTTTGAAATGTTTTCAGAGCGTGTGTTGGGGATGACTTTCAGTTACTACCACTTCAATCTTTCTCTCAGTATCTGTAAAACTGACTGAACCGCTGGTTTTGTGTTTGCTAAGCTTGACTAGCTGTGGTGGCCATCTTGAATGAAGTTAATCAGTTATTGATTGACTGTACATCCAAAGATTGCTTTTAGAGATTTCAAGTGGCTTTTAAGATGTTTTGCTAACGCTACAGACAAACAAACAGCAAATCATTTCCTGGACATCTCTGGTGGCGGGCCGTAATTAGAAGCGATGAAGTGAAGCCAGACTGTAGGAGGAGAAATGTGAGAATCTCACATTTATTTATGGCATGCGTCACTTTCCTGACTCTCAGATGCTCCAGCAGCTGCAGGATGATGGAAGGTGTGACAGAACGTGGCAAGATTCAGAAATGTCTGTTTAGCCTTTGAATTAAATAATAAGAGCAATGATGAGACGTCACTACCTGGGGTCTGGGGGTCCTCCCCCAGAGAATTATGGATAAAGTAGATGCCATTTCCTGCATGCTGGTATATTTTACAAAGTTTTATTACAGCAGATTAACATGAACCAAAAGATGGAAACTTTGTTGTTATTGAAATCTCTGACTGAAAAGCTGCAGCTCTGCAGGTAAGGGACGTTTACTTCAGGACAAATTGAGGTCACCAATTGGTCAGTTGTTGACATGCCTACTGGACTGACTGACAGGTGGCATGACTCGTGCAAAAAAATATCATCTTTCCCTGGCCCGTTTAATACTGTTGTCATTAATTTCATATTTATTCAATATTTTGGTGAATCTAAGGTTTGAGAATTGTTTCCTATTCCTAATGATGGTTTCTTAATTTTTCAGGTGTGCTGAGTTAAAATTTAGGGGTGCTTGAGCATCCCCCCCCCCCCCCCCCAAAAAAAAGAGGCTAAAATCACCAAGCCAGTTCATATTTATAATTTACTTTTAAATGCTTTACGTGTGATTTATAAATGTATTAAGTGCAGGATCATTTCTTACCTTACTTATTAGTATATCACACCACGGTCAGCTGCACCTCCTCATCCTCCTCCCTGCTCCGGACAACAAGTGCTGCTCTAAGTTTTTGGCCACACTTAGAAAAAACTGTCTAATATTTATCTCTTCGTCACTGCATGGCTTAGAAAAGAGTTGCTCTCAATCCTCTTGCTCAGTTCAGAGAAACATCCTGGTCGCTCCGACATCGCTTCAAACACTGACTGCAGACAAACAGCTTTATGAGTTGAGATCATCGTCTCTGCAGTTCAGAGAACTCCTGCAGTGGTTCACACATCAGATTGTTCACAAAAGCGCAGGAACTTATGCGTAGTGCCAAACGTTTAATTATATTTTTGTATTTTGTAATCAAATTGCCCGTAACTTTGAACTTTTAGGGGCAGAGATTTTTTTCTAGAGTAGAAGCAGAAATGCAAAGTGACAGCTCTGATGTGATATTAGGAAGCTCGTTATGTTTAAAATTAGTTTTTATGTGATTATTTTCAGTTTCAATATTCAGTATAGGTTTTAATTGTTCAAGACAGTCAAATTTCTTCATAACTTTATTATTATTAAGCTGAGAGTTGCCGGATCCAAGCAGTTACCCTTCAAAATAAGAGAGTTCTTGGATCCTGTTTCGGAAGGATCCAGCACAAATTAAGTTCAAACACATAAACTTTTTGCATAAATCAGTGTCATATGTCTGCTGGCTTGCTGTGGGGACCCTGCAGAAAAAAAACAACTTCATCCAGTTTTTTATTTTAGGATTTGTCGTGTCCTTGATGACTGAAAATGTCCCGGATGACAAAATCCTTGTGTTGGATTGGATCAGTCGAGGAGTGGTGGCGCAGAGGTCAGAGAAGGTGGGCCTGTGATCAGAAGATCGCTGGTTTGACTCCCTGGACCGACAACATCAAAATGTGGGTGGTAAAGGTGAAGCACCCACACCTGCCTCAACCCTCATTTGCCACACTCTGAGCCCTTGAGCAAGACTCTTAACCCCCACCTTGTGCTCCCCTGGGTGTCCCAGATAGCAGCTCTCTGCTCCACACAGAGGGCTGTGGTAGCTCGGTGGTCTGTGGTTGAGTCAGGAAAAACATCCAGTGTAAAAACAATCACAAGTCTTGATGTGAGTTAGTTCACTGTGGAGACCCCTGAAGAAGGGAGCAGCTGAAAGAAGAAGAAGAAACTGGTGTTGGATCAGATCAGTACTAGTGATGGGGTTAGTACTTGAGTTTGTTTCTCTCCTGTCTGTTCAGTTCTTTGCTCTTTCCAGACATCAGTTATTGCAAGAACATTTAATCAGGTTTGTCCCATTGAGATCAAAAGATCTCTTTTACAAAAGAGACCTGGCCAAGACTGGCAGCATACAGAGAGAGGGGGAAAAAAAAACACTCAGTTACAACACATAGTCACAATAAACATACTCATAGACTTACAAAGTACAATAAAACAAATGACTCAAGTGAAACAATTGCACTTCTGCAACTTGAGTATAATTGGATCTAAGTTTAAGCTTTGATTGTAAACTGTTCCATGAGCTTGAGCAGAAAAGCTGAATGCTTTCTTCCCTCTTTCTGTTCTGACACAAGGAACACTAACATTTAAAAAGTCTTGAGATCGGAGGCTGTAGGTCGTGCTGTTTAAAGTTAACAAAGATGAAAGATAAGGTGCTGTCAACTTGAGAATAGCCTTGTAAATCAAAACATACCAATGGCCAAGCCGATGTACATGCAAAGACGGCCATTTTACCTTAGCATACAAGAGACAGTGATGAGTTAGGGCTCCATAATTTGTAATAAATCGCAAAGTGCCATGATACACGCTATACAGCATGTGAAGACATTGAGCACAGTCGTTTTTTATTTGTAATTATTTTTTCTATCCTTAACATGTGTTTTTGTCTTTCAGGTACACTGGACCTATACCTGGACCTACCATTCTGTGTTCGTTTGTCTCTCCTTCCTGTCCTCTCAAACCAGCCGGTCAAAGCAGATGGCCGCTTGTCCTGAGCCTGGTTCTGCTGGAGGTTTCTTCCTGCTTAAAGGGAGTTTTTCCTTTCTACTGTTGCCATTGTGCTTGCTCAGGATGGGAGACCGCAACGAAGTGAAGATTCAAGATGTATGCTGCTTCCTTAGATAGAGAACTTTACTAACTGGCTTTTCTACGTATGTGAATGTTCCTGTAAAGTGCCCTGAGACAATTTTGTTGTGATTTGGTGCTAAATAAATAAACTGAATTGAATTGAATTGAGGAATTCCATGACTAACTTTGGTGTATGATGAAGATTCATTATTTACATTTACAAACTGGAATCTATCAATTATGTATGATTTAAACCATTTTAGAGCTGTTTCTGTAATCCCAATATCACATTCGAGCCTTTGTAGTAAAATATTGTGATCAACCATATCTAATGCAGCACTGAGGTCTAACAGGACCAGTATAGACACAAGTCCATTGTCTGAGGCCATGAGAATATCATTAGTGACTTTTACTAGTGCTGTTTCTGTGCTATGATGAGCTCTAAACCCTGACTGAAACTCTTCAAACAGATTATTTCTTTTTAGACGTTCACACAACTGACCTGCAACTATTTTCTCTGGAATTTTTTAGATTAAAGTTAGATTAGATATAGGTCTATAATTGGCCAGAATTTCTGAATCAAGGTCAGATTTCTTAAGTAAAGGTTTAATTACAGCAACCTTAAAGCTCTGTGGTACATAACCATTCATTAAAGACAAATTAAGTAGATCCAAGATGTGGACATTAATCAGGGGAAATACCTCTTTAAACAGTCTGGTTGGGATGGGATTTAACATTTAGACATGTGGATGGTTTGGATGAAGCTATTATTTTTGACAATTCAGAGAGCTAACTGAGAGATAATTGAATTTTAAACCACCAGATTTCTTCTCAGCCACTTGTCTTAAAGGTATTCAAAAATATTCTAGTGATTTGAGAAAAAAATCACACAGCGAGACTAAAAGTCATCTTACAGAAGTAGCTAACAAACTACTAGCATGATATAGTTAGCATGTTTTACTCATTGTAGCGGTCATTCACGTATTTGCAAAATAAATTACTTCTGTTTTTTTACTTTTGTGCTATGCCTGAAAGAGCCCCTGCAGAGGGATCACGTATGGTCCCAGAGCTACAGCTTGCAGACCCCTGGGTTATCAGCAGTACAAGGCTCCATTTTGTATGGTATTATTGCACAAATATCTACCTTGTACCTGAAAGGGACACACAATCCATTCGTAAATTTGAGAAAATCTGATTATCTGCGTGGCGTAAGGATGATTCTAGTTTCAAACGTCGTTTAACAAATCTTCACCGCCAGAGGAATTTAACTGGTTTTATTTCCAAGATCATACATAAAAACACCCAAAAGAAATCCTAAGTAAAGTCTGATTGTTTATATTGTTCAGCTTAAAGAAATTAAATGACTGGATTTTGTTTTAATGTTTGTTTTCCAGTTATGGAACTCACCAGGTCTTACCAGCCTGAGGAGAACTAGTTGACCTCAGTACATCTTCAGATCAGCTGTAACTGACCTGAAACAGGCCCAGAGACCCCACAGACTACTACTACCACTGTTAAGACAGCCTCGGAGTACGGCAGCAGGGCAGGCAGTGTCAACATGACTGACAGGGGGAACTTCAGCACTCCCAAAGTCCAGCCTCGGCCCACTGCCCCACCCGTGCTCCCTCCAGAGCCCATCAGCATCATTCGTACCAAAGCCCGCTCCCGGCGGGTCCGGCTCAACGTGGGGGGTCTCACTCATGAAGTGCTGTGGAGGACACTTGACCGGCTGCCCCGGACCCGTCTGGGCCGGCTCAGAGACTGTAACACCCACGAGTCTCTGCTGGAGATCTGCGACGACTACAGTCTGACTGAAAACGAGTATTTCTTTGATCGGCATCCGGTGGCCTTCTCCTCCATCCTCAACTTCTACAGGACGGGGAAGCTGCACATGATGGAAGAGATGTGTGCCCTGTCCTTTGGGCAGGAGCTGGACTACTGGGGCATCGATGAGATCTACCTGGAGTCCTGTTGTCAGGCCCGGTATCACCAGAAGAAGGAGCAGATGAATGAAGAACTGAGGAGGGAGGCAGAGACGTTAAGAGACAAGGATGGAGAAGAAGAGGACCAGGGCTGCTGTCCTGACAAAAGACAGAAGCTCTGGGACCTTTTAGAGAAACCCAGCTCCTCTGTAGCTGCCAAGGTAAACAACACACACACCCACACACAAACACACACACCAAACTATTTGATTGGATGATGATCCAGAGATCTGTGATGTGATCATAGAACATTTAGCCATCTATCCATAAACTGAGCATCTCTCAGAGCCAAACTAAAGAAATGTCATTTGTTGATCTGGTTGGCAGGCCTCAGACTGACAAAGTCCTCTGGATAGGGGACGAAATGTTTCTCACTTAAAGAAACTGTCCAGATGACATGATTTAACCTTTTGTGTTGTTCTCTACCTGGATGATTGAGCTAACAACCTTTGCCATTTCCTGTACCGCTGAATGATTTTAGCTGAAAGCTGCTGAAGGAGCTAAAAGCAACCAAAAAGGTTTCATTGCTAAACTGTTCATTTGAGTTGAAATGGAACAGCAGACATTTGCTAAAAGCAGGAAAATAAAAGTAGAAAGCAGAAGAGCAACAGCTGAAATGTGTAGAAAAATCTGAATAGAAGAGAAATGTAGAATTAGAATGAGCTGAAATGGGCAGAGATTACAAATAATCTTAAGTTATTTTAAAAAAATGCTGAAATGAGCAGGAAAAAAATGCTGAAATTTGCTTTAAAAAAGGTAGCCGAAAAAGCATTTCAAAGCTGATATTAGAAGAAAGAGCCTAAAAAGAGCAGAGTATAAAAAATAGACATTTTTGAGAGAAGTACAAAAGACAGAAAATAGGAAAAAAGAAAGGAAAAAAATTAAAAATAAAATTAGCAGAAAGAAGTTGAAAGTAGCTGAAGGAAGCTGGATTAGCACAAACAAGCCAAGAAAAGCTGAACCAGTTTAAAGCTGAAATGAGCAGGATTTAAAGGACGTAAAGAGAGCTCCATTCATTTTCAACAGGAAAAACATGGCTGACAAAGCTAAATATTTCAAACAGTAAAAATTGCACAAAGACCAAAAGTCACAGCAGGAATGTCCTGAATGAGCCAAATGTTTTGAGACATGAATTGTCTCTGACTGTTCTTGTGTCAGCCAGAACATGGATGGTGTTTGCAGAGTCTTGGTGAGGTCTTGTGAAGAACGAAATGGGCTCCCCATTGAAAGTGATAGAACAACGGTTTGGAGCATGCACAAACTTCTGCAGGAAGTTGAGTATCCATAACATGGGGTCCTCATACAAAAGGGGTGTGTCTTGTTCATCAGTAATTTGAAACAGGGCTGGCCACTCTAGTCTCATATTTAGGCCATGATTGGGATCAAACAGCCCAGCACAATTTAATTTACAGTAGTTAGTTTATTTTACAGCGCTAGATTCAGATCCAGTTGTAGCCAGTTCAGTCCGAGTTAGAACACAATACAGTCAAGATGTGTTTTAAAGACGTGAGCTTCAAACCTTCACGTTATCTTAGAGCAGCATGTTGGTGACTGTGGAAAGGAACCTTTGTAACACCAACAGAACCTGATGGGCCTCGACCAGCTGGGCTGGAGATAGGACTTGAAACCTGTTGCTGAATCGTGACGCTTTTTGAGAGAGTTTTGCCAGGACGGGGCTAAAGGAGTGGTGTGGATGGAGGAGGTTGTCTAGGCGACACAGATTTCATTCCACCTCATGTGGTACATGAGGTGGAATGAAATAGTGTACACAAGGTCCCAGTTCAGTGTGTGGGGCTGAAAAATGCGATAAAATCAAGTAAAACAGCCTGAATACTCAGAGCAGAGACAATAGGGCAGCTCAGTGCATCATGGGATACCACTGAGCAGCCTGTAGTTTGATTCTGTCTGTTAGCAAAATATCTTATGACCAACTGAGCAAATTGGATTAACAATCTAAAAAATACTTGTAAAAGTTTCAGTTTTAGATTGCTGCCACAACCGACCAAAAGTGGCTAAAACTCAGATTTATAGGCGTTGAGCTAAGATTTGATGTGGTAGTAGCTGAGAGTCATTCACAACACATACGTTAAGGAATGCATGTCACCCGCCGCCATTCATCTCAGACTTTAAGATTACATGGATTATACCACCTCATAGGAGATTGATATTTGTGGTTTGGCGAGGTTATTTAGCTGTGGCAGCCATATTGAATTGGGTTGACTCCAAATGGTAGCTGGCTGTAGATGTCCATGTGCATGGATTTTATTCTTGTTCAGGACTAATGTCTGTGGTACAGATGGTTCTTGGCTCTAAAAATACAGCAGCTCTGGCCTTTAGAGGACCGTGTGATCCTGCTGGAACTGTGGTGTCAGCAGGAGTAAAGCTGCTTACACCACCTGACTCGCTGATTCACCACTTTTAACCAATCAGTGGACTGCTTCCTGCTGAGAGGTGTGGCCAAGACAAGCAGCTAATTAGGAAAGAAGTCCACTTGGAAAATATGATGCATCAGAAGAAAGCACACACATACACTCGTTTGTTAGCAAAATAACTCATGAACCACTTGAGCGCTTTTCTTTCGCTCTGGAGTAGTTTTCTTTGGCAAGATACTCACATTTCCACTGCCCCCATATCCATGAGATAAAAGGATGTTTATGGAGTTTAAAGTAGAAGCGCTGTGCGAGTGTGTGAGTGTGTGAAGGAGAAACACTGAAGTATTTTGCAGAACCTGGAGTTAAAATGCTATAAAATGATGACTTCCAGAAAGAAATCACTGAATGTACATTTATAACTGATGAACTGTTGGAGTCAGCTGGGTGTCTGGCTAAGTGTCATTAGCCAATGATGAACTGACTTTAACTCAGTCAGTTCAACACATTATGAGCTACAGTTTGCTGTGGTAGTAGCTGAGTGGACCATAACACATGCTCTGAGCAACAGAGATATTGCAGAAAGTTATTTTCAAAGTTTGACCAAAGCAGCTAAACATCACCTTGCATCAGAAGACAGACCGAGTCTGAAGCTCTGGAATGAACAGTGGCGGGTGATATGCATTCCTTCAAGGATTATTAGGCCTCTTATTTTTGTTTTTGAAATATTTTCTTTATTCATTTGGCAGTTAATTTAAGAGAAACCAAAGACCCACCTTCACCTGATCTTGGAGTCTGAGGCCAGCAGGGCCTGGTTTACTGAAAGGCCCACGTTATTCTGGAACCAGAGTCTGTGCACTATTGATGAGGGGCATTTTCATTAGTTACACATGGAGGGAGTGGGGGACTTAAACCGTTTTGTTGTTGTGTGCACGTAATCATGAGGAACATGAGAAAATACAATAGTTCCTCGTTTATCATTTATCCGTACCCAAAAGCCCCGCAACAAGAGGGGCGGCTGTGGCTGAGTGGTTAGAGCAGTCGTCCTCCAATGCAAGAGTTGGGGGTTCGAATCCACCAGCAGTCACATGCCAAAGTGTCCATGGGCAAGACACTGAACCCCTCATCGCCTCTGATTTGTGTCCCATCGGTGTATGAATGTGATAAAGCTCTGATTAGTCCCTTTAGAATGATTTGTTCAATTAGCTTTGTAGAGATCTAGTAGAAAGGTAGAAGGTGCTATACAAGTACAGTCCATTTGCCATTTTACAAGAGAAAAACCACACAGAATACACACACGTAATTTGTGAAAACTATATTTATAATATATAACTTTTTGAACATATATAAGCTGCACTTGTCTGTAAGCCATGGATGTCCTCGTTGTAGCATGAAATATTTACATAGAAAGACTTTTCAAACTTTTAATTAAATACGTACCAGTAATTGTTTTTTTTCCTGAACAGTGCCTGTTACACACGGCTGGTTAGAAAAATACAGTAGCTTACTAGGAAAAGTCACTGACCACTATCTTCATCTTCCTCCTGTGCACTAAAAACCACTAGTCTTCTTCAGTGTCAAAGTTGAAGAGACTCCGAAAAACTTTGTCACACATCCTCAGTCTCTTGTTGTAGAAAACATACAGTAGCCTTTCAGGAAGTCATTGATCACCGTCTTCATATTTCTCCTGCTGCAAGCTTGTGCTCCATGGAACAAAAGTTGCTCTGCACATGGTGGGTGGTTTTACCATTATTTATATAGGTAGTCGCACTGAGTCACGAGGACCCACCCCCAATTGTGACGTGTATTGGGCAGTTACGTGAGCTCCAGGGTGTGACGAGGCTAAATGTTTTTAGAGGCAGGAAGATTGTTAGCCTGTTAAAAAATAAAAATAAAAATAAAAAAAAAATCCATAAATTAGCTGCAGCAATGTAAAAGCTGCGAGATTCAAAGCCTGTGAAAAAAGTAACTGTTTATAGTCTGGAAAGTATGGTACTAGAAAACAATCTATGGGGGCCAAGGCCACCTTTGGCCATCCCTTGGTTCCTTCATTGTGCTTGGTGCATAAAATGTCTCCTTTTGCTCTCCACGGTCTGTCACTCTGCACTGATTCAAACAAGTAAAAAGATAACCTCTATTCTTCTCCACAGTGCAACTCCTACCCACTTGGATATCTTGCACAAAAATATTAAGGTTTACCTACCACTTTGAACCACTTTGGCTGTGGCTGCCTTAGACAAGTCAACGGGGGAGAGGGTGGGCTCCATAAACCATCAAACTGTAACAAACCACCTAATGGTTGGACCAAAATCACTACACAAAAAGTCAAAGTTAAATTATATTTATTTTCAATGTGAAGTATAGCAGATTGGACTGGTTCTGGTACTGGTTCAGGAACGAGTCTATGAGACAGAGATCGGTTAGTGGTCGTGCAAGAGATAACGGAGCGCAAAAGTCAGAATGAGGAAGACCACTAACCGGCTCAGATGAGCTTGGGGGTCCTGGAGACTTATGAGGTCCAAACTGATCCGGATTGCTGCAGGAGAGGCTGAGTCTGGTGAGAGGCTGCAGCCGGTCGCAGTAACAGGTGGGTGGCAAGTCCGTTGAGCGAAGAGACGTGGTCACACAAGCCAGAGTCCAAAACTGGAGAGCAGAAGACAGGAGGTACCGGAGGAGAAGACGAAGAGGCGTTGTCGTGCAGGCGAAGGTCAGAACCGAAAGCAGAAGACGTAATAATCCAAAGGGTCGAGCGAGAGACGACGTCCAGGTGAGTCGTGGGTCCAGGAGCCGGG